TTTTTATTCTTAAATTATAAATTTTTATAAAAAAATTTTAAAAATCATTTTACAATATTTATTGATTCAAATGATAAGGAATTTGATTCTCTTTAAGTAGGATATAGATTTCAAGTCTTATTTTTTTTATAAAATTTGATTCGATTCAACTTCAAATTAATCAAAATTTAAAGTGATTATCGAATATTGAGATAATCTAATTAAAAAAAAAAAAAACTTTGGATAAGCTAAGTCTCTTTGGATTCCCTTTTCATAGATAACTTCCTCTCTAAGCTTTAAAGGTCTAAAATAATAATTATGCATGGCAAAGCAATCACTTGTCAAATTTCTATGATAGTTTTGAAAAATGGATAAATTACAGTTGACTTTTGATTCCTTGAATATTTGAAGGTAGCATGTTGATTGCAATGCAAGAAAAGGAAAAAAAAAAAAGGTTCCATCACATACTCAATAGTTAATGACTTCTAACTTTACGACATGAAAATTATAAAAGATGTAAGTACATGTTGAGAGTCGAGAAATAAAAAGAATTATCTTATTTATCTTACCAAATTTATATAAAGTATTTATATTTTTATAGGACATGTAATTATTACATAAATTCAAAAGTTAATTAATTAGTTAAAATATGAATTATTACAATTAAACCAATAATCACATCAATAATTTTCAATCTTCAAATTTATAAATGTTAAAAGGGTAAAAAGTAATAGATCTTAATATTCATACACCTATTGTCCAAAAGTTATTAGTTCATAATATTTCTCTATTATATTTTCTTTGTTTATTTTTTTTAAGATATCCCAAAATTATGTTACTTTTTTAACATCTAAAATTTTATATTTTTTATATTTTAAAATTATTTGTTATGATTATTTTTTATTTTTTGACATTAAAAGTCATGAAACTTTAATTTTATAAAAAAAATTAATTTTAATATTAATAACATTAAAGTTAAAAATTTTTTTAAACCTCGTGAAAATTAATACTGTTCAAACAAATTAGAACAGAAGGAGTAATAATATATGTATAATTTAAAACTAGAATTGAGGGGAAGGATTGATAAGGCCATTTGAATAAAATATGAAATCTCCATCTCACATTTTATGATGTATAAGCAACAAATAAGAAAACTTTCTCTTTCCAATCTTAATAATATAAATTTAAAAAAAAAAAAAAAGGGTGAAAGATAAGACATTGACAAAGAGGAAAGCAGAAAGATTCGAAGCAGGTGGTCCAATCAGACGAAGGGATTCCAAATCCTAAAAGCTCAAAAAAAAAAAATAATGGGGATGGAGAAATGAATCTGTATTTAAGGAAAAGATACATTTTATCGCCGCCCTCATTTAAGTGCCCATAACAGGCCCATGATGCAGAGTAATGAAGCAACTTGAATATTCCAAAAAAACCAGGTGTAATGTTAGGTGTAATACGCAACGTAAGCCTCCAAAGTCTATGATTTTTAGCCAGCCAATTGCAGTTTCTCTTGATATTATTATTTCAGTTCGTTTTGAGTACGGGCTATAGCTGTGGCCCCCTTTGCAATGGAGGGATCAAAGAACAATTGTACTAGTTTCAAGGATTTCACTTCTATAGCGACTTGTATAATTTGTACATAGACAGTGGCATGATGATGGGCGGAATTGGAGGATAACAACGTAAACAAAACTAAAACGACTGTCTATACTGCAGAGAATCCATCTTTAGTCTTCCCTGGAATCTGTTCTCCTTTGTCATTGTCCGAAAGAATCCATCTCCCTTACGTCTTTTAAGCCGACATTCATTGTTGAATCCTCACCAAATAATAATTTATAATTTCTCTCCCTCATTTTTTTTTTCCTACTTTTTCTGCTGAATTTTGTTGGTTATATATCTTCTACTTTGTTAATCACAACTACCAGTTAATGTTGAAGTTTTTTCCCGTGCAATTTGGCAATTCAATTGTGCATCCTAAAACTCCAAGTCAAGCTGACAAATATCCAAACGTGCCATATTGACAACGAAGATTTCTAGGTCATCGGCCCACCAATTTGGTGGATCAAAGGCCATGGGCTAGAAGCTTAATTACCTTTCTAACCTCACCCAACAACATTGGGCCGGTTTTATTGTTTTTTATTTAATTTTTTTTTCGGGCGATTTTGAGAAATTTGGATGCTTCTTCATTTCTGAATGGGTCCCTTCGGCTGTCTCGAATTTGGGCCGCCTTGTTTGGTGGGTGCAAGTTCTTGGCGAGAGTTCTACACTTTACAGTTTCCCTTTGATCTTTCGGGCACCCAAAGGCCGAAACCAAGTGTTGCTTTTCAAAAGAAATTCTGCAATAATTCATCAAATCAGACAGCCGCGTCTTTCTTTCATTATTGCCAAATTCCAATGTTGGTTCCTTTTCTCGTTGTTGAGACACGTTTTTTTGGTACCGTGTCGTTCAAACATGTTAGAAAAGCATATATTGTTATTAAACTGTGAAGAAGAAAAAACACGTTTCTTATGTTGTAATTTTGATTGTGATTTTATATGTAATCGGGCCATCGCATTCACATTTCAATTATAAATTAACATTTAAAGTAAATAATTTGGATTTCTTTATGAAAAATAATTTGGACTTTTCTTACAACACGTCCACTTCTTTTTAACTCAGGTGCTATCAATTTCGGCATTAAAAATGGTAAAATGAAAAACGATCGACTAGTTTATTTTTACATTGAACAATTTTTTTTTACTTTTTATTTTGTTATGTTTAAAAAAAATCATATTTATTATTCAAATTATATTTATTGCATGTAGTTAATAATTCAATTAATTTTCACAATTATTTTTTAAAATAATTTTTAACAAATTTGTAATTTAAATATCAAAATCTATAAGAAAAAGATTCTTTCAATTATTTAAAAATAGAAAATTTTTACTATTTTATCTAATGACAAATAATATGCTTTCAAATAAATCTAACATTTGTTTAACTTATTTTAATTAATTTTTATTTTGTTTCATATTAAATTTAAAATCATTAAATTTAAACTATAGAGTTAAATGAAAAATGTATTAGTCACTAAGGTTATAAACAAATTAAATATAAATGAACATATGTATGTTTATTATTTATTTATTTATTTTTATAAGTGTCCAGGTTAGATTCGTGTTTGGTAAGAAAATTATCTTATTCATTCGAGTTTAATTCATTTAAATGATAAGATACTTGTATTTGGTTCGTATTAAATTATATTAAATTAAATAATTTTTTTTAAAATATTAAATAAATATATTCATGAACATATATAAACAAATACATTTATAATCAAATAAATTTAAATAAATAAATCTTAATGAATATAAATGAATCTTAAAATAAAATTAAGATAAAAGATAAAAATATAATTCTATTAGTTTTATCATAAGTAAATAGTAAATGAATATAAACAAACAAATTTTAAATAAGTTTATTCATATATATATAAACCAACTAAATAGACATATGCTTGTATTTTATTTATTTAATAAACAAATATTAAAATACCATTTAAAATTATTTATTAAACTTAATAAACACTTATAAATAAATAAAAATTGAATATATTTACAATCAATTCGTAAAAATCTTTATTCATGTAACCTCCATTATTCACCCTTACATTAGTAGTAGAATCAAAAAACTTTACTACCTTTTTAAATAATAAAAAATATATTTTCTCGAATTTATATTTTATTTTATTTTTATCCTTGAACGGCCACTTTCTTTCTAAAAAATTTCATTAAATAGATATGAACTAGTTCCTATTGAATGCAAAATCAAAAATTTGTTAATTAACCCACCATTTAAGATACTCCTAATTGATTTAAGAAGATTATAAGGAAATGGAGCAAAGTTGAGCATATTGAAGTATTGATTTTAATTTCACACGTTATTGCCTTAATGGAATTAGTTTTACTAATAAATACATCACATTTGCATTTAATAATTATTATAAATACATCAGATTGGGTTGGTTTAAGCATTCCTATCTTCATTGGTTGGGATATTGAGCAGAGATGGATTGACAATACCCCTTGTTTTGTTTAAGTAGATAATTGACGGATTAGCAGTTCTCATTGTCTATTCTATTGTCTGTATTATGTACGACTACGCTGATTTTCATTCTTTCAATGGAAAAAGAAAAAGAATAATATCACCAATAAAATTGAATTGACTACTAAATTGAAACATTAACATTTGAATGTAACAAAATCAGTTTGAAATTAGATTGGTATGAACATTTGCAGTCATTTTTGAAATTCTTTTATGCATGGAACTTTTTGAAATTTTATTTTTCAGATTTATTAGCAATGTTTTTTTTTAAAAAAAAAATTTTCGAAAAGGATATGTTTTTTTTAACGTCCAGCTGTGATCAACGAAGCTAAAGTCATAGGGTCTAAGCCTTTAAGACTCTGATCAGAATTTCAACGGGATGATATCATAACAAACGATGACGAAGGGACCAATCGAACGGTACAAAACAAAATGTTATAACTATTATTATTTTAATTAAATCAAACGGCTGTGCCCTGTGGGGGCCACTCTCATTTCTATTGAAGAAAGAATCCCCTGTGACTTGTGGGACGACACTTTGACGAAGCTTCCGGTTTCCGGTAAAAGAGATGAGGTTTCTTCTTATGGGGTCCCACAATGACTTATTTATTTTATTTTATTATTGCAAAAAAAGCGGTTAAAAGGTCAACTCTACGTCTCTACCTCACTGTCTCCAACCCACAAACCCCCCACCCGTTGCCAAATTTACCCAGCTATCAATCTAACGGCTAATCACGACCTTTTGACTTTGTGCCTCTTGTTTTTTTCATCATTTCAAAACGGTCTTCTAAACTGGTTAATCCCGTTGCCACGGAGCCCCAGTTTTTGAAAAGAGAGCTGGTCAATGTGCTGACAAATGTTTGAACACGTGGAAAGATTTGATTAGAAGGTGAGTTTGACGCTAATATGTAACTGACGCGACAGGTCGGTGACCCAATGCCTTGCATTGAACAGGCATCAGTTTGACTCGAATCCTTCGCTTCTCTCCTTTTATCATAATCATCTTTCACCTTCTTTCTTTGCTTTTTCTTTTTTGCTTTTCTTTTTCATCATTATTTCAATTGATTTTCCCTCTTATTCTAAGTCAAGTTTTTTCTATAAAACTGTTTCTGCTTTGAGTTATCAAAATTGTGGGCGTTGGGGGACTTGGGGTTCTTCTTGGATGAACATAGATGGCGGTGAAATTGATGACGGGATATGACGGTGGTAATAGTTTTGCTGGGAAAATGGAGGAAACTGCTTTGATAGAAGCTGCAACTGCTGGGATTCAAGGAGTTGAAGATTTGATAAGATTGATGTCTAAAAGTCATCAGGTTTACAATCAAGATGCTTCTTTTAATACTTCTTCCCCGTCAGGTTCAGAGCCAGCTTTAGAAATCCAAGCTGTTACAGATAAGACTGTTAATTCCTTCAAGAAGGTTATTTCTTTGCTGGATCGACCCAGAACTGGCCATGCTCGATTTAGACATGCCCCTCCCATTCCTCTCCAACAAGAAGAGAAACGACAGCAACTAGATTCACAGCAATCTCGGCAGAAGATTCAAGAGTCAGGGAATTGTTCCGTTCAAGTAACCAAAGATCAGGTGTCTGCTTTTAAGCCTTTTTGTCCTAACCCAGGTCATAGGTTGCCTCCTTTGCCTCATAATCACCACCAGAGTAAAATCAGTCCTCTTTTGGTGGCAAAGGCTGGTCTTATGGAGAGAAATGAAGCTCCTAGTACTATCAACTTCTCATCTTCGCCTCCTTTGTCAGCTGGGAATTCTTTTATGACTTCATTGACAGGGGATACCGATAGCATGCAGCCATCTTTCACTTCTGGCTTACAATTTACTAGTCCTTCCCACGTCCCTTCCTCTGGTAAACCTCCTTTATATTCCTCTTTGAAAAGGAAGTGCAATTCCATGGATGATGCTGCTCTCAAGTGTGGATCATCCTCTGGCCGTTGCCACTGCTCCAAGAAAAGGTTGGTTTTCTTCTCTTTGGTTATACGTACAATTTCCTTCATTTAATTTAATTTGGATGGTTTAATTGATTTGGTCCTGAAGTTCAACCTTTTGATTGAATTTTTATTATGTAGGAAATCAAGAGTGAAGACAATCATTAGGGTTCCAGCTATTAGCAACAAGATGGCTGATATTCCTCCTGATGATTATTCCTGGAGAAAATATGGCCAGAAACCAATCAAGGGTTCTCCTCATCCAAGGTGTGTAATTTTTTTCTTTTTTGCACTCTTTAATCAATCGAAAATCATTTTTGGTTTTCAATTTTTTTACCTTTCACGTTCAAGTTACCTTGTTTTTGTCGTGGGCTCTTTACTAGTTGTTCACCCGTTTCTGGTTTGACCAAAAGCCTCCAAATAATAATTCATGTTAGCATTGAATGTTTTAGTTTTCAAATGCAATTGTCATATTGTTGGGTGGCGATTTAATTGTCATTGACTTTACTTGTATTGCACATTGAATTGCCTACTGAGTTAGCCCATTTGTTAGGTGTATGAGTCCACTTAACTCAGTCCCTTAGTTTCCCTAACCCGTTTCTTTGGGCTATTTCAGGGGCTATTACAAGTGTAGCAGCGTCAGAGGCTGCCCTGCAAGGAAACATGTAGAGCGAGCTCTAGACGATCCTAGGATGCTGATTGTAACGTATGAAGGAGAACACAATCATAGCCACAACATCACGGATGCGCCAGCAGCTTTGGTCCTGGAGTCATCTTAGTCCCACCACCTCATTCAATGGCCCAGAAATGGTCATCAAAATTGAATCAGACCCGTCAGGGCAAATCTTCAAAGATCATGCTATATGTAGGGTTGATCAGACTTTGGATAGTCAACTTAGAGCCAGGGCTATGACTCCAACAAAACAAGAAGATTGATTAGTGGGTACGCTAGCTGTTTAAAATGACAATATAGGATTCCTTGTTTTCGGTTTTGGCGCAAGAGTTTGTTCGGACAAAAAAAAAGAAAAAAAAAAGGCATAGGGTAGGAGATTGTGGATTTGGTGGGAGTTGAATGATTCGAGTAGTGGGGGTTTTTCTTTTCATCTTTCTATTTGTTAATGTTCTTATACTCAATTACCAGAATTTTTTTCCCTTTCATATATATACAATATGGTGGTGGATCTTGCTGAAGATGCTCTCACTTTAATTTGTTCCAGTGTCCACTAAATCTCTGAATTCTGATCCATCGTCCATTATTTTATATTTGAAGGCAAATGGGTGTTGCAGTCAATGAAAAGATAAGAAATTTTTTTCATTTCTTTTTAACAAAGGATGGTGTCTTGTTTATGAAGGTTGACTCTGGCAGTGTGATAAAGAAAGAAAAGAAAAAAAAAGAAAACTGTGCGGTGGTTCTTTTGCCAGCTTGTGATTGTTTCCAACTCCAATTCTGTGACTTTGTGGACAGAGGATGCAATCATGGATTTTGGTCGGATTCTTGGAATAGTGGTAGGGAATGTAGATTGTTTTAAGGGGAGGTGGGTGGTAATGGTATACTGCTAATGGTTCTTGTGACAGCCCCATTTCAAATTGGACAATAATAGTAAGCCAAACTGGCCGGTCTGGTGTGTTGATATATTGTGCCCACACTTTTTTTTTTTCCTTTCTTTCACTTTCACCATCTGATGTCTATTTTCTTTGCTTTTCCCAAGTTTCTCAAACCGAGATTTTAGAATAGCATTTCTTATTTTCTTGTTTTTCTATTTTACGGTTTGACGTTGCTTTGTTTTGGTCAAACTTGAACTGTAATCTTGCTACTAATCTTTTTCTGCTTTTCGTTGTATTTGAATTTCGATTCTATCATTTTTCTCCAAAAGAAAAGTCGCACCATTTAATTTACTTATACTGCAAGAAGGATCAAAGTTTCAGTATTCCAACTAATCCTTGGATGAATATGGCCTCCTCTTTGGAAATTTTTTACTTTTGTGAAATGGGCTTGGTCAGCATTAACATTGTGATGCTATTTTAATTCCATTAATTAAAATTCAAATTTTGATAGTGTCAATTAAAAAAAAGATGTGCTTTTGAATTTCTTCATTTATGGCTGTGTAAGTATTTACCATGTTTAGTTTTCTTCACTTAGGAGGCTTCTTTGCCATCGTCTAAACTAAACAGGAAACCTTTTCTCAAAGTTGGTCATGTTCACTTTTAACAAGATGTTTTGATACTACTTTCTCGTTTTGAGAGGATTGAATGATTGATTTAACCCGTTTCAAGTCAACCTTCCTTTTCTTACCTAAAATCTGCATTATTCATCAACAAAAACTAAAAGCAACAGATTAAGTTCAAAATCAAAGTTTTGAGCTGTTAAACTAATGCTTAGTTAATTTGCCATTACAATTGAGCTGTTAGATTGTCAATTATGAATATTATGGTGAAGAGTTCATTTTAAAACTCAACGTAGAGTTCTTCAAATTTAAAGTTTCAAACACATTTGGAATTCAATTCAGTTTTCAGACATTTAAATCATCCTTGTTGCAGGTTGTCTTATAATTGTGCAGGCAACTCCAGACAAAATGCTAGTTTTTCATGCTTTTATCTCTCTTCATGTCTTGTTGTTCAAGCATTGATGATTGAATTTGGTCAATCAAGCCTTTCTTCATAGTAGGAAAGGGAAAGGAAAAGGGAAAGGATGAATCTCAAAGACAAAACTTTACTTTGAAACCAAGAATTAAATAAAAGAGTAATGTGCTACAAACCAAAGCACTTTGATTTCTGTTAAGCTATCACTTGCACGTAAACTATTTCTTAACCCTGAAGAAAGAGCATCACGTTTTCAAACCGAGTTGTAATGTGTTAACTAAAGTAAAGAGACGTTGCAGCTAAGTACAATGTTCCCATGAATTTCCAACCTTTTCGTTGTAAGTACATTCATCAAATTGAGTAGAGTTAATGTCCCCCCAAAAAAAAAAGAAATTAGATTTGAAAATGATAATCTCAAGTGATCCTGATCCAATCAGAAATCTCAATATCATCAACCAGGCAAGCCCTCGATGGGTCGATACCTTCAGCTCAACAAAGAGCCCACTCCATCATCGGCCTTTGGAGTTTGGTGTATTGTTATGGAGCTGGCCATTACCACTCCAAGATTCATTCATATAGATCAGGGCTCAGGGCATGAGTTATCCAGTTTAGTAGGGTCCATTTCCCCACCAATTTAGTAGTTAACAGGCCTAGACATCTAGCCTATTACTTTTGAACCATATCCGGATTTTATAAGCGACGCCTGCTGGATCAAAATAGAAGGTTCATCGGTAAGAATATATTTATTTGTTTGCAATCACCTTCCTCCTTGAGCTAGCAGCCTAGCATTTTTTATTATAAAAAGGTTCGGGTGATGGAGTTACTCCATTCTAAGGTCAGATACATTGCTGATCTCGATAATAATTTATATTGAATTTGTAATCATTTATTAAGAAGATTGTTAATAGTAAAAATTAAATTTAAATATTATAAATAAAATAATTAATTTTTACTAATTCAATCAAATTTCATTAGATAGCTTGTTGAACAATAAAACAAGCATGATCTTTTCATGATTGTATTAGTGTTAGTATTTTTTAAAGAATAAAAGTAAATTAAATATTCAAATGCCAGAAACATTGTTGAAGTTTGGCACAATCAAAGGCCTTTTCACCTAAGTTAGTAAATTGACATTTTACCATCCCATTTTTAAATCAAATTGTGCTCGTTTTAAGTATAATAATTTAATTAGTCGAATGCAAGCCTCAGTTATGGCTTGTCGGTGAGCCTAGGCCCTAGTGACACAGGATGGGCCGAAGCTCTTTTGTTTTTTTTTCTTTATCTGTGTGTAATAATCTGACGTGACTGATGCTTTCGTAGTATGAAACATATATAGTACGTAAAATAATAAAAAACTGGAGGAAAACCGATGATCTTAAGCTCGAGAGTCCAAATTGCATGTGCTTCAACTATGTGTGTGAGTGGATGTCATTTCGATATATTCAGCATCTTCTTGATGTCGGAAAAATTTTCCAATTACCCGTAGATGAAGAAGAACAGGAAGTGCATTCATAACAACTGTAATTGACTTTTAATCCAATAGATTTTGTCTTCTTTATGTACAATTCAAGTTTTTTTTTTAATCCTTGAAGAAGACTACCAAGGTGACCAACCATAAAATATCTTTCAAGGAACTTAAGGAAAATCACAGATATTGCCATAATGATTTTAACAAAGTCTTACATTAAGGAGTAGTTGAACTTTTAATTTTTGATAATTTTGAATATAAATAAAATTAATAAAATAAAAAATTATAATTGCGTACGGAAATATAAAAATTTTGAAGCCCTCGACAGTAAAATTCTTAGCCATTGTTGTTATCAAAGAAATAAGGATTAGGTTAAGCCTTTGAGAGAAGAAAGTCTGAACCATTGTTGCTATCGAAGAATTGGGTGAAAGTTTAGGAGGCATCTTTCTTTTTCTCAAATATCCTTCATTCTAGGCTTTAAATGACTAATTAAATAAGTTCAACAGGAACATCCAAATTATTAATTGAAGATAAACCTGAGTCATTGATACTTGAATTCTAAAAACGAGACAACCTAAAAAGATGTTGAAGAGAAAGGAGAAGATGAAGGTTTTACAAGTGAAATGAGATCCTTGCCAATCTTATCCGCCAACTAATTTCCATTAGTAAGAGCAATAATCAAGTTCCACACCCTTGCTTTTTTTTTTTCCTCCAAATTCCAATTGATTTATTTTTGGGTCGTTTATTGACTATAACAAATTGATTAAGAGTCAAGAACCAAAGAACTTTTTATGAAAAAAAAAAAAAAAAAGAGGTGGAAAGAATAAAGAGACTTAGCTAGTGGCCCCCATTAGCTTTTATTTTTGTCCAAAGAAAGACCCTTTAGTCAAGTGCGAGGACCCTTTTTCGACAACTGGCATTAATTTCCAGATAATGTGGGCCAACTTAGTCTCTTGACTCGAGCGACGACTTAGACATGAAGTTCTGCTGCAGGCTTGCTCACTGCTCACTAATTGTTAGCCATTTAGCTGATTTTAAGAAGCAAACAAAATTGTAAGATTTGGGTTCTATTGCTTGTAAGAAAGAAAAGTACAAGCTCATTTATGTGCATGCTTTATATAGCTCAAATTAGATTTCTTACATATTGTAAAATGCATCGTAACCGTGCAAGGTACAGAGTTGTAGCAAAGTTCCGATAAGACCGGGGGCTAAAGCTAATCATCTTAGTCTACTCTATCTGAGTCTACAATTTTCTCATTCATCCTTTTTTTCTCTCTGACTTGGAGATTTACTTGATTATCGAAAAATTATTGGCATCAACAATTTGCCAATAGAAGTTTTAAGTTACCCTTTGCTAATTTCTTAAGCTTTCAATAGCTATATGCACATCTGCACGTGTAACACGAAAGGAACAGTCTCTAATACTCCATGCACTTCAGAAAAAGTGGGATGTAAATATAATATATTTATATATGTAGCAGAGTGCAGAAATATTTCAGCCCATATCAGCTCCTTTTCCTAAACAATCTGCCATATTCTTTTTGGACCACTACTTTAAATTGGAAAAAAACCAATCAGATGTAAACAGAATTATCAAATTAACATAGCTGATCAAGCAATTTCTCTTTGGTGTCGGTGGGATTCTTTTACTTCCTAAATCCTACTAAACTACAGAGTGCCCCGGCTCCACCAACCAAGGAAAAAAGGTTATTCTCATTCTTTATTTACTAAATAAACTAATCTTTTTGTCATCTTTCTTTTGTTGTTTCATTCTCAATATTTGCTTTTCTTACCTTTCTTTATCGAAAGTTGTCTCTGCCATTTTACATTATTGTACCAAGACAACCCACCATCAATTATTGATATATAAAGTACACATAAACTGTATTTCCACGAACAATCAAAGCAATGGTCGATCAATAGATAAAATAAATTCTTTGCTTCATGCAAGAAGAACAAGAATCACGAGGCTGCTAGAGTCATACACAAAAAAGAATGGAAGTCTGTACCCAAAAAGAGACTGAAATCCTAAAAGGAAAAAAAAGGGGTCTAATTACCATTTAATTCCTGAACTAGTTTTGGACATTTTACCCCCCAAATTTACACACAATCCAAAATGAATAGATGAGAAATGTCTGCTTGCTCATGTTAATTCAAATAGACAAAGATAACATTGGTTACATTAGAATTTTGTTATTGAACTAATTAGTCATATTCAAAAGGATCCTGAATATAAAAATGACATATATTTATTATCCTATTATTGCTTTTATGAAATGTGTGTCATGCATTCTGAAATTGAGCTCCAAAATGTTTGACTAGAAGTTGAAACATGAAAAGCTACGTTATAAGTAGTCATCCTCCTGTTAGCTTTCAGCCACAATCCACGGTGCGCTCCTTTTCCTGAGGAACAAATTGAGAAGCATAGCTAGATAGCAAGCAAATCATGCTTCCACACCTTCTCTTTTCCGCTTTCCTTTTCTTGAATACATATTTCTTCCGATTTGGGGTCGCCCAAACTTGCCCCCGCCCTCCAACATGCCCTACAATCTCACCACCGCCACGCCCTACTAGAACCGTTTCTTATGTTCGTCCACGTCCACCGCTATACAATCCTTCACTTAATCTCTTGCCTCGCCAACCAAATAACAATCCAGGTCCCCTAGCCAATCGAGCCAGGATTCTTGCCATTACCCAAGAACTTAAAAGAAACATTACCTTTGACCCACAAAACTACACCGGAACTTGGGTTGGCAACAACTATTGTCTCTTCAAAGGGTTCTTATGTGACACTGTGCCAGACAGGAACATAACTGGACTAGCAGGTATTGATTTCAATGGCGCGAGGTTTCGTGGTAACTTGAATTTTTATCGTTTCATTGCAAATTTGCCTGACATTGCTATCTTTCATGCCAATTCAAACAACTTTAGTGGGGTCATCAATCGAGGCCTCAGAGGGTTACGTTACTTTTATGAAATCGACTTGAGTAACAACAAATTCATGGGAGGATTCCCGTCAAACGTTCTTGGTGCCACAAACTTATCCTTTGTTGATCTTCGTTTCAACAACTACCTGGGTTCTGTCCCTCGTAGTTTGTTCAATTTCGACACAGATGTACTTTTCATCAACAACAATGTGTTTTCTCAAACAATCCCTACCGATTTTGGCAACACACCAGCACTTTATCTTACCCTTGCAAACAACAACTTCACGGGTACGATCCCGCGAAGCATAGGTGCAGCCTCGGACACCATGACTGAGGTCCTGTTCTTAGGCAACAAGCTATCTGGTTGCCTACCTTTTGAAATTGGGTATTTAAACAGATCGACGGTGTTCGATGTTGGATCCAATCGGTTAACAGGTCCAATTCCACAGTCATTTGGTTGCTTGGCAAAGTTGCAGCTACTTAACATGGCTCATAACAAATTCTACGGGTCAGTACCAGAGGTTCTATGTAGGCTTCCAAATGCATTCAATTTCACTTTGTCAAATAATTACTTCACCCAAGTAGGCCCACAATGCAGAAGGTTAATCAGGTTAAGGAGGCTTAACGTCAACAGGAATTGTATAATGGGGCTTCCATTCCAAAGATCGGCAGCCGATTGTGCAAGTTTCTTTTCAAGACCTAGGACTTGTGCACGGGAGAGCACGTTCAATATCATTCCATGTAGGCTACCGGCGGCTTCATTGAGAACCCGAACCGTTTCTCAAGAAGATGAAGTGCCGCCAACTCCCAAAAGCTATAATGCGCTTGTGAAGCCTCCACATTAAAGAAATTGGACTGTCTAAATTCACTTGCTGGGCTGCATGTGTGCATTATTCTAATCAGAATAAGATATGATAATGCAGGCGTCTTTTATCATATGTTTGTACTTTTGTATTAGTATTAATTACTAGTTTATGCTTGTTTTAAGCGATGATTATGTACTGTGGTTAATTACAGGGGATTATGATTGCAGGGAACCGATCTTTTCTGTCATTGTCATTGTCATTGTCTTTGTATCTTTTTTTTTATTTGGTTTTCTTTCTCCTTTTTTGTTGAAAGTGATCTCTGTAGTTAACTAAGTATTGTGCAGGAAATTGGTGTTCCATGGATGTTGTATAGCAGTGGATTTCTTTTAAGTTTTATGGTTGCTATCATACTTTCCCATTTTAGAAAAAAAAATAATAAATGGCATCATTTTGTACAAGAAAGGTAAGCATTTCGAATGGGCCAACACCCAAAGAAAAGAATGGGCCAATTTATTGAACTGACTATGATATTTTTGGCAGTGGGCTTGGCTACGATGATCTAATTAATATCAGGGAAACAATCCATTCCGGCTGCCACTCCACATAGCTTTTGTGCGAGAACTCGACATCACTTTCAATATTTATTGGCTTAGTGTGACATCTTTTCATTTAACTTGAGTGCTAGTAATGATTCAATGTTGGGAACGGGAAAGGAATCACTAGTAACTTCTATGCTGTAACAGTTTTTAAGGGATTTTCAATGAACAATAACAGTCCGCTTTGTTGATTACTAATGGTATTTTGATTGTCTAGAAAGCAAGAAAGTGAGGAAGAAATAACAGACTTTTTCTGTATGAGATGTTATTATGAAAAAGAACATAAAGACAATTTCAAACAGAAAACTGATTTTTTTTTTTTGTTTTTTGCTTAAATACCTCTTCTAAACCCTTCATCTATTGTGAGAGAAAAGAAGTCATTTTCTTCCATTTACCTTTTTCATTCTTAAGTCTTTTCTCCCATCAATCATACTGCAAAAAAAAAAAAAAATTGAATGATGATGCTAGCTGGGAGCCAATATTGTGGCAGCTGTCCGAACAAGATTTCCATTGGAATCCACTACCCGGCTAAGTCACTGGAATATTTGTGAGACCATGGCTAAGGATAAGATACATCTATCATTTTCAAGGGGGCTGGAATTCAATTTTGCTACAAGATTAAGAATTTAAGATTAACGATTTGATGAGATTTTGAGATCATGCACTTCCTATAAATAAACAGAATGGACAATATACACTCTCTATGCTTGACTCCGATCATACTCCCCAATTTTTTTGTTGTTAATCTTGTCTATTTTTCTGAAAATTTTGTTTTAAAGAGTTCTGGGTCTGCCTTATCTTTGGAGGTTAATAAAAGTTTATTTTTATTGGGAAAAGCCAAATTGGACTGCTCTATGTTTACAAATTACAACACCTCTCACTATTGTGATAAGTGAGGTCAAAGACGCAATAGCATGCTTCAGAACAACTTTTCTTCTTCCTTACAAAACAGAAAAAAAAAAAATTCCACTATCAAGAAATGCACTTTGAGTGGTTGTAAAAGAGCAATAGAAATAAAAATAGACCCTAAGAGTAGTTCCAGATGGCGGACGATTCTTAATGTGGCAATCTCAACTTATGACCTATGGCTTCTCATTTCTATCGTTATTGTCAACCTTCACCTTAGTTGCCCACTTCTGTGCCATGGGTTTCATTTCCAGCACAAAAAAAGTAGCAGATAGGTGTAACGTAGCAACAATGAGCACCATCTCCTACATCCTCTTAGTTTGTCTCATTTCCTACACTACAGCTCAAGATTCCAGTAGAAAAGCCCTAGAATTTACAATTGGTATTGGCAGCGGCAGCAAAGATAGCGACATGAGTAAGGGCTGCAACGATGAACATCATACTCTTCCATTCAAACTCAATTGTCCTCTGCCAAGAACCCATTTAGCAACTCTGCCAGAACTTCCTTCCAAAAGGGAAGTTTTGGTGTTTGCTGACCAAAGGCTGGCTGTAGTGTATCCGGTAATCCAAAAATTTAAGTCTATAATCACCTCAGATCCTCTTGGCATCACCAAAACTTGGCTGGGTTCAGATATATGCAGTTACAAAGGGTTCTACTGTGATAATCCACCTGATAACAAGTCTGCCATAGCTGTTGCTTCTATTGACTTCAATGGATTTCAGCTGTCTGCCCCTACACTAGATGGTTTTCTTGAGCAGCTACCTGATATCGCACTTTTCCATGCGAATTCCAACAACTTTGCTGGTACACTTTCGCCAAACATCGCCAAGCTTCGTTATCTTTACGAGCTTGATATAAGTAACAACCAATTTTCAGGTCCATTTCCAACAGCTGTTCTAGGCATAAGTGGTTTAACATTCTTGGACATTCGCTTCAACTTCTTTACCGGGTCAGTTCCTGCTCAAATATTTATTCAGAACCTTGATGCTCTCTTTATCAACAACAACAATTTCATGATGCAGCTGCCTGATAATATTGGCAACACTCATATTTTTTATCTCACCTTGGCCAACAACAAATTCAATGGTCCGCTTCCAAGAGGCATTTTCAAAGCGTTTTCATCTTTAGCTGAGGTTCTGCTCTTAAACGACCAGCTAACAGGTTGTATACCTTATGAGATAGGTTTGCTAAAGGAGGCTGTAGTTTTTGATGCTGGTAACAATCAGTTGACTGGTCATTTACCTTTCTCTTTAGCTTGCTTGGAGAATTTGGAGCAACTAAACTTTGCTGGTAACCTTCTGTTTGGAATGGTGCCTGAGGGGGTATGCGAGATTGGAAAATTGGTGAATTTATCATTGTCCGACAATTATTTTATACATGTTGGGCCCCTGTGTAGAATTTTGATTGAGAGAGGAGTGCTTGATGTAAGGAACAACTGCATTCCTGATCTTCCATTTCAGAGATCAGTAGAGGATTGTGCAAATTTCTTTGCCCATCCAAGGTTGTGTCCTCGCACGTGGCCTTACACTTACATCCCCTGTAACCATTTTCCATATAGTTCTTCAATTCCCGAAGTCGCTCCTTCACCTTAATCTTCTTTAGACTAATCAAGCAAGTGAGCCGTGGGCTTTTGTTTTTGTTCTTATCTTTTCTGAGGTTGTGACACAATTTTATGAATGCTTGTGAAATATTATTCTTTCAGTTCTATATAATTAATGAGAACATAAGATATGGTCTTATGAAACTTCAAGAATTCTAGTATCATTTCCATTTGACAGGTTTTTCGTTTTCTCTTTTGATTTTTTAGTGACCACTTGCTGAAGGCTGTTACATGAAGGAAAGATTATCAATAAGTTGACTTGGAAACTACTTGTATGATTTATGTATATTTCCTTTGAAAAATTAAGCAATTGGTACATGTACTGAAGACTGAAATCATGTGGGTTAATACTTAGAGTGCAAAATGTTCAGCGTTACCAACTGTGAAAGATGTAACGCAGAAAACTTGGCTACTAATTTGCAGGTACCAGGACAATAAACTGCCAGCATTCCAGTTTTTACTATTAACTGGTGGCCTGTTCCTCATGCTCTATGTTGCTTGTGAGAAACAAATCGGAAATGGAAAGCTGCTGCTAGAAGAGGAATGCCATCAACATGAACTAAGCATGTTTTCTTAGGCCAGAGCCTCTGTGATTACCTTAGTTCTAATATTCTGATTCATACATGTACATATAACATCATAATTCTACAGTTATGCATTTCAAAATGTAATTCTCCTGACAGAAGAAATAAAAATTAGTTAAATTTTCCTGGCTGTGAAAGATGAAGATAGTTACAAAACTAGTAGTTGTAGACAACTAAGGAACTATTCCTAAGCAAATTACCAGGAAAACAACTTTGGAACCGTGTATTGTTGCATAATCCAGCCAAATGTGTACTATGAATCTTTTCAAAGCAGAAAAAACACCACATGACACAATTGGGAATCGCCAATAACATGGAGAAAAGGTGCTTTTTAAAAAGAGTCTGGCCCCAGAATTTGTCCATTCAGGCATGGGAATAGGGCATATCTCTTTCTTCTTAATGTTTAGTGCCGACACGCTTGCCACTACACACTTTTTGTTTGCAAATTAACCGGTTCGCCTACTCAACCAAGTTTTTTGTAAGCCATAAATCTTGTGGAGAGGAAACAAGTCTCAACTAACCCACAGCATTACAAGTTCCTAACGCACACGATGTGGTCCAGCTCAAAAAGTGACCCATTAAAGACTACAATATGATTAAAAAATGCATCATGAAGATCAGGCAGCTTTGTCACTGGTCGCCGTCATGGGTTTTATAATGTTTCAAGTGTTAATGGAGAGCTGCTGAAACTTCAGTGGGAGTTTTCTTTGTGTTTCATGATTAAAATTAAGAATCATGCATTGGAAGCTGGGGTGGCAGTTTTATCTCTCCATCCCATTTTGTAGTATTTTCCAATAAGCTTATGTTGTTTGATCGGCTTATTCCTTTTATGAAAAGTTATGGGTGATCCAGATCATTGCCCACTTACGCCCTCTTTTATTGGGCTTTGATCATATTACATTATCTTCACTAGGTTCTTCTTAAAAATGTGATTAAGTATAATAGACCGCATGCCTCAAGGTTTTTCAATTAATGCCATATTTGCTATCGAACTTTCTAATTTATCTCTTTGTCTTTGAAAAAGAATAATAATAAAATTTTTCAACCAAATTTATGATTGAAGCAAAATTTGCATCAATTTCACTACGACGTACTTATTCATCATTTTCATTCACTTTATTAAAATGCTAGCTAAATTCTACATAAGATACATTGAATGATTGAAAAGAGTAGGTGAAGCAGCAAGAATATAGTGTTGTTCAAAGCAAAATTGTGAGCTCAAATGGATAAAACCTACCTTCAGGAATTAAATTGAGCCAATTTTGATGTTGTGTCAAGCCTTAGCGTTCTTCTTGGCCACAAAACTACATCTCTTTACTCTTTTAACCACTCTTTGGTTACAAAACTGCATTCCTAATTTCCTGAAAAAAGGAAGCAAACTATTATTCTTGAGTTTATTTTGCTTTGCACTAAATATAGGTCAGGTTATCAATCCGGCAAGTGCAAAGCAAATTAAAACGGTCTGCTGGATACCCCCTTTCGCATCAAAGAAAACAGAAGACCGTGAAGGTGTGAACTGGTGAAGTATATCATGTTGGTGGTCCGTGTGGTAGTGAATGCGACCAGAGCATCGTTGAAGGAAGCTTGACATGAGTCATCATCTACCAGTTCCAGCAGTCATCGACAATGCAATTTAATCTATATTCAGAATCAATATGACAGGATTATAAAAAGAAAAAGTAACCATTATTGATGTAATGATGTGTGAAAGCCTTGTAGCTATCAAATAAAGCCAAGTACTTGTTTGAACCCAAGAGTGGTTGGCGACCACGGAGGCATTAGGCTGGGTCTTAATCGATTCCCCCCAAAAGGTAAAATTTTATATCAACTAACCTTAACACCCCATCCAAATTTATGGGGTCATTTGGGCTAGAGAGCTGAAATCGTGGACATGGACCTAGTGTATCTAGACCCAAATGACAGTTGTCCTGGGCCCTGACTATTAGCCACTCCAGCAGCAAAATTTCTCGTCTTTTCTCTTTCCCCTGATAAATTAAATTTACGCATGCATTTTGTCTTTTCTTACGTTTTACCTTGGAAAAATGACATGTGCCCGTATTTTTTAGCATCATGTTTGGCATTAAAAGACAGAAAATTTTTTTCTTTTCCATTTTGGACTGAACTACAGTAGCTATTATTAATAAGGTAAGGACCATATATATATATATATATATTTCTTTCGCCTTACAGATGCAGCTGTTGATTGCATTTACCATTGCAGATTGTGACCTTTCTGTACGCTGGTTTCTTAGATTGTTTTCTTCTTTGAAAACAAATGCATTTATTGTGTAGCCGTACTTAGTTGGATCATCATTAAGTCGTACCTGCAGCCCTTAGAATTACACACGGATTGAAATTGGTCTCCATTGCTAAACTTTACTTGACTATAAAGATGAGATTTATGAGCCATATAGTATAGATGCGAAATAAAGCTTTGAAATTCTGCAGGAATACGGTGATCGGATTGCATTAATGGCAGTTTCCGGGAATTCGATCGTGCTCCCTCCACATTTTTTAACTAGGTTTTTGACATTATGTTTCAATAAACTTGTGCTATTTCTAGCTGAAGCTTTAGTAATTACAATATAAATGGTAGGTTGACTTCCTTAAGACGTCCAGTATGAATACAATCAACTATTTACTGTCTAGCAGTAATTTGTCAACCAGCAAGAGTACCTTGGCATTAAGTAGGCTATATGCAGCTGGTGGTTTAATGAGTACCAATCAACTCCATTACTGATGCTTGGGAGAGATGCCGAGAAGGAGACGGGTAGAAATCAGAAAATAATTTGAGTTTGTTTTATTTATCTTGAACAATCTGTTAAAAGATTAAAAATAAATAAAGGCTTCCAATTTCACAATTTGCAGGCATGCCCTACCCTTCGGCAATCCATATGCCTACAGAGAAGTGAGCATTGCACCATTCGATTATTGAAATAGGCCGGCCAAGAGATGATATAGAATTACCTTATTTCTTTGAGTCAAGGGCCCAAGTGACCTTATAGACAAGGGAGAGCGTAAGTAGGAAACGTACGAGAAGAAGCATGGGCTTGGGCCCTTTTATGTTGTACTTAAATTGGGTTCAGTCAGCAACTGCATTTATTTGGGCTGTACACCTTTCCACTAACCGCAGAAACTAATTTAGAGTGACTGTCCCACCTTAATGTTACCCCTAACCATAGCGGAAAAGTTGAAATTTGTGGATTAGAGGACAAATTAAATATGCTGCTCCAATTTGAATCATTTTAAGCTGTAACGGAGAAATTAATTTTACAGTTTTTAGTCTTGTCCGTGAATAGAAAACAAGGTTACAATATCTTATAGCGACCATAATCTAATTGTGTTAACAGTGTTAATCTGTTACATCATGTGAACATTAACTAAATCTAGGCTTGATTAATAGTCAAAGTGTCTCACAAACATTAATGATTAGCTTTTGTGTAGTTTTCGTGGGATTACATGTGCTAATTTGAATAAAGTAGCCTCATAAGTATAATCAGGATGGTTGTTAAAGGTACCTTTCTTCGTTAAGAGGCAATGCATTAAGGTCAAGACTACATTAAGAACGTGACAGTGTAACCATACAGCCATGAATACCCAAAGATCACAAACCCCGGCCCACATTCAACCAAGGCCTTTATAGATCTTCAAAAACTCGATCAATCGCATCAGAAAGATTACCAAATTGTGAATTCGCGTGGCAGCTTGGCACCATCAAAAAGTTAACCCGATAAATACACAATGACAGGCTTAATTATTTCCCTAAGATAGAACAAGAAAGGAAATACTTGTACTTGTACGCGGAGTGGCAGTCGTAGATTAAGGGAAAGAAATGGTTGTGGGGGTGGGTTGATGCATTGCCAACAACCAAATAAACAGGGTAGTATATTAACCGTACAGAAAAAATTAAGAAATTAGAGTCCCAAGCCAGCTTTTTCAGCCCATGTCCCCTTTTGCTGTTCTTTCCGTTGCCTTCACGTGATTCTGAGCTTGCAGTCCGACAGCTGCTCCCCTAGTTATTACATGCTTTGTCACGTACTGCTTGCTCCTATCGCCATCACATTCTCTTCTCTCTCTTTCTCTCAGCAACCCTATCAGGGGATTGAGACGGACTCCTTGTTGCTTTTGAACAAAGACATAGTGAGCGAGATATAGAGAAAAAAAGGGTGTGTGTGTGTGTGTGTGTGAGAGAGAGAGAGAGAGAGAGAGAGAGAGAGAGAGCTGAGAAGTTTACCAAGCAATGCTAGAGAGAAGACAACCCTCCCTTCTACAAAGGTTCTCCATTTTGCTAATATTATGTAGTATAGTTGCTACTCCAGAAGCTGCAAAGCTTTCGCCATCGCCTGATGCTACAGCTCTTCTGGGTTTTCAGTATAAAGCAGATTTGAGAAACCATCTTGGCTTCTCTCAAAATGCAAGCTCTCACTTTTGTGATTGGCAAGGAGTCACATGTTACCAGCAAAAAGTGGTACGTCTCATTATAGAAGATCTAGATCTTGGTGGCATTTTTGCTCCCAACACATTGTCCCACCTTGACCAGCTACGAGTCTTGAGTCTCCAAAACGACTCCCTCACCGGTCCAATTCCTGATCTCTCAGGCCTTATCAACCTCAAAACCCTCTTCCTTGATCGTAACTTCTTCACAGGTTCCTTCCCTCGTTCAATTCTTTCCCTTCACAGAATTAGAACCCTTGATCTGTCCTACAACAATCTCAGTGACCCTATACCAAGCTCGTTAGCTTCTCTAGACCGGTTATATTACCTAAGGCTAGACTCGAACCGGTTTAACGGAACGATTCCTTCATTGAACCAGTCTTCCCTTAAAACCTTTAACATTTCAGGGAACAATCTTACTGGTGCAATTCCAGTGACACCAACATTGCTACGATTTGGTTTCTCATCTTTTTCATGGAATCCTGGTCTTTGCGGAGAGATTATTCACAAAGAATGTCATCCAAGGCCCCACTTTTTTGGTCCCACAGCTGCTGTGGTGGGGCCGCCGCCTACGGTGACTCTTGGTCAAAGTGCAGAAGTTCATGGAGTGGAGTTGGCTCAACCAAGTTCAAAGAAGCACAAGAGAACTGCGGTTATTATAGGGTTTTCTACTGGGTTCTTTGTTCTCGTTGGTTCACTTCTCTGCTTTGTTATGGCGTTAAGGAAACAGAAAGACAAAAAGCAATCGACGGCTGAAACTGAATCTGATGATGCGGCGGCTACAGCACAAGCTGCGGCGGTGATTCAAATGGAGCAAGAGAACGAGTTAGAAGAGAAAGTGAAGAGAGTGCAAGGAATGCAAGATTCCAAGAGTGGGAACTTGACATTCTGTGCGGGTGAGGCGCATTTGTATACGCTGGACCAGCTGATGAGAGCGTCAGCTGAGTTGCTTGGGAGGGGAACCATGGGAACCACGTATAAGGCAGTGCTTGATAATCGTCTGATCGTGACGGTCAAGAGGCTTGATGCTGGGAAATTAGCAGGCACAACAAAAGAAACATTTGAGCAGCACATGGAATCAGTTGGTGGTTTAAAGCATCCCAATTTGGTGCCTCTCAGGGCTTATTTCCAGGCCAAAGAAGAGAGGCTTCTTATCTATGATTATCAACCCAATGGCAGTCTTTTCTCCCTCATTCACGGCAAGTTCTTGCTTTCATTTTCTTCATTTGTTTGAATCATTTCCATGTTTTTTCTGTTGCCTGTTAGTGAGTTAAGGTGCGATTTCACTCGGTGTTAACTCGGGTTGCTACTCAATCAGGGAATGGCATGTGTACATTGACCAAGGAAAATGTTTTTCTTAATCTTAATAATCGATTTTCCTAAAGCATAGATGTAAATAATACCCTGATCAGTTTGATTTGGATGCATCTAAGTTCTCTACAAACACCAAGAATCTAACTGCTACTGAATACATGGGAAATTGATATGATTTTGATATCTATTCATTAGTGTTAATTTAATAATAAAGCACTTTTTCTAATGGACTAACCTTTTTGGCTTGCGAGCCTAATCCCATCAGATTAGGCTTCACTCGAAGTGAAGCACTGCTACATGATCGTCGGATGGGATTAGGATGATGTTGATGGGTCCCATGTTAACATTTGTAGGACCCACGACACAGTCCCATATCAGAGTCTAGAGTCTTGACTGTCTCAAGTCCAACTGGCTAGTTTTAAATGGGGACCCACTTGATTTTTGATTGAGTTGGATTTTTATGCGGAAAAAAACATGGGATTATGTGATTAGAGAATTGCCTCAAATTGTTTACTCCAAATTGCATGTGCAGGATCGAAATCAACAAGGGCTAAGCCACTCCACTGGACCTCGTGCTTGAAAATAGCAGAGGACGTAGCACAAGGACTCTCCTACATCCACCAAGCATGGAGGCTTGTCCATGGCAATCTCAAGTCCTCTAACGTCCTTCTTGGCCCAGACTTTGAAGCGTGTATATCCGACTACTGCCTGGCAGCCATCGTCACTTCCGCACCTGAACACGACCCCGATACTATAGCGTGTAAACCTCCAGAAACTCGCAATTCAAATCACCAGACAACATCTAAATCCGATGTCTATGCATTTGGGGTTTTGTTGTTAGAGCTTCTGACAGGAAAACCTCCTTCTCATCACCCGTTTTTTGCACCAGATGAGATGATGCATTGGCTTAGGTCTAGTAGGGAAGATGATGGAGGGGATGATGAGAGGCTAGGGATGCTTCTTGAAGTGGCCATTGCTTGTAGTTTGAGCTCTCCTGAACAAAGGCCCACAATGTGGCAAGTATTGAAGATGTTGCAGGGGATTAAAGAAGCTGTGTCAACGGAAGATGGTGAATTGGACCCACATTCTGGGATATCTTAATGAATTTGTGGTGTTAGTATATGATTGTAGGATGATAGTTTGAATATCTTATGCATAGAGAAAAATATATATTTATACTGCATGATATAACAAATGCAATTGCAGCTGTTGCCACCTTTTCCCGCTCTTTTCGGACATTATTTATGTTGTTTCGTATTCTTGGCCCCAACAAAAACTTCCTGTGCCTTGATGTCCACGTTTCTTCTCTGCCAATATACAAGAACTTTATATCACGATACCAAGTTGCAGCTGATGTTAATGGCTTATGACTGGTCATCATAGTCAAAATTTTCAATTTAATGTTAGTAGTTCACCGGGTGTATAGTTCTATACCTCACTGTGACTGCCTCCGCCAATTCGTTTTCAAGCTAGGCTGCCTGGTGGTGCCCATTGTCAAAGCTTAAAACTCCAATTATTCCGCTTTCCGTTGAGTTTTAAAAATAGGATAGCCCAACTCAGGCCTACGACTGAGCCCAGAAATTATTGAAAACCACGAAAGGTGGGCCCAATAGAAGAAGCCCAACGGTGGGTTAAAAGCGCAGTCCACGTATATCATGTTTGTGGGGGAAAATGAAAAGAAGTAGAAAATATCATGCCAGAATTTGCTAGAATCCTCTGTTCGACCAAGAAATTAAAATAAAAAAGAAAAACCGAATCTCCCAACTGATAATCAGGATATACATTTTATCAACGGAGAACGGGAAAGCAAAGTACCAGATGCCATGGACCGTATGGACGCCGATATGATGGAGTCGGAGGGCACCTCTGCCACAGTCACCACGCCACAGCAACAAGGACAAAACGATGTCGGTAAAGACCTGCTCACAATGGCTCGTAACCTTATCGATGAAGGCAAGCCTTCTCAGGCTCTTCAAGCGGTAATCATCATAAAACCTTTTCAGTTTCTTCTTGAATGGTTAATAGTATTTTATTATTATTTTGGGTTATTACTGTTTAGCGAGTTTCGTTAGTATTTGCTATACAGGAAGTTGTTTCTTTAGCTTCTTGAAACATTGTTGTAATCTTCAATGTGTTGGCTTTTAATTGCTTTGAATACTGAAATCCCTCCGGGGCAGAATGTCTTTTCTTGTTCTGGCAATCAAACTTTTCCCGGATGGTAATAATTTAAGATACATCTTTAGCACTTTATAGCTATAGATATATGAAAAAAAATCACATTGCGTTACTATGAATATATCTACAGAGTGAAGGGTATTACTGTAGTTAGGAGTGAGGGCCATAGAAGTTGATTTTTCAGAAAAGCATGTTAGAAAAATGGAAATTTGATGTTGAAAACAAATGCTTTTATATCTTGAGATTTAGTTTTAGAACCCCAAATAGTGATCCAGCCTAAGAATAAATGAATGGTGAAGCATCTTAGTTTTTGAATGGAAAGGAATCAATAATATTTATTTGGCTTTTGTTCTTGTTCGTTTTCTTTTTCTGAGAGATGATGAAAACTGGGATGACAGGAAAAACAAAAAAAAAAAAAGGGTGTCACTGCACTGCAATTTAGCATGTTATTATTCATCTAAGAAGCTTTTATTCTTTCTTGTACAATGGGGTTGGGAATCTTGTTCCTTCAACCTTTCTCTTGGAAATGTGGACTTGATTATTTTGTTGCTTCTAAATGATTAGTTGTGACGCAGGTGCTTCTTTAAACTTTCATTACTCTCTCTTTGAAACTAACAACTATTTGGATTAATGGATGCTACTAATTTGGATCTCTCCTTCTTCTGAATAACGGTTGTGAATTGTCCCTTTTCAAATGTATTAGCTTTAATAGCCTACTATTTTTCATTAACTTGAGTTTCTATTGTTAATTAAACATTGTTCCCACCACTTCTCACTGTAGGCTTCTGAAGACTGCATCTGAGTTGGCCCTTAAAGCTACTACCAAGTTAACAAGTACTGGTGGTAAATACCTGGCATCTGAGTTGGCCATCGTGGATCAAACTAAAATATGCTTCTTTGTTCATTGCTGTTTGTTGATACAAGGAGGACAAAAGTACCCTTGCCCTTGTTAGGCAGCCAGTGATAGCTCAAGTTAATACACACACTACTAGTTTAACTTGGGTCAACTAAACTAATGATTTTTCAGCATTTAATCCTCTCTAGAGCCACATCTGATTAAATAACACTTATCTTTTAGGGCTATGTCGTTTCAAAATTTGACCTGAAATTAAGTGTCCTTCAGTCATTTTATCGTGAATCAATTCTTCCTGTCATATTTTTAGGCAAAGTATGTATGCCTGGCATATCTTTTTTGCTATGCCTCAGTTTGAGTTATAATTGATTCTCTTTTGAACTGTGGAGACAGTGGCAGAAAGGTTATCACACTTCGCCTTACTTTTAGACAAGCATCATGAACTTGCCTGTTTCTCCTTTTAATCTCTGCTTATCTGTGATGGAACAGGTCGTGATGGCCATGAGAACCAGAGGTGGTGATGAAGCTGTATTTCAATCGTTGTACCGTGCTCGTGAAGTGTACAGAACTAGAATGCAAGAAAACACTGCAGTTGATCAGCTGGCTTCTTTGTTTGCTGAGTGTGCAATAGCTGAAGCCCAGCCTTCAAAAGCTGAATCACTACCATGCTACCCTAATGGTCCATCAGTTGCACCAGATGCTCATGGGACTTCTATTCTTGCTGAAACAGGCAGAATGCAAATTGTATTGGATGCATTCTCTGATGGAAGTAGCTTTATCTGTTTACAGTGCGGGGGTCTTGTTAGTAATGATCGCAAAGAAGAGCACTATGCATACTGGTGTGGCAATATGTGATGTGCTGATACATGGAATGTAAATTTGCTCACTTTATAGACTTCTTCGAATGCATGAACATGAGACTCGTACTTCTCTTATTACTCTGTCTGCATTGTTGATATGGGCACAAATGTTGTTGGTGTACCGTTGACAATTAGTAGCAAGCCAATTCGTCAATCAAAAGTGAAGCAAACCTGGTTCCTTGCTGAGAGTTTGAATACTGCACTCCTCTATGACTCCAGTAATGAAGTTTTTATTACAGAACAATGCGAGTTAAAACGTGCTTGAGTGAACAATGATGTAGTCAAGTCATTGTAATCATGTCTTATTGTACCAAAGTTTGGGAAATGTTACTTTTCTTCTATTAAATCTTTCCACATATCCTCAAGTGGAGGCTTTTATGAACTTTTATTTAAAATTTATCCGTTATGCCTCCTAATTTCCTCATAATGGAGTCGCTGGGGTTTCCCAATTAAGTCAGTTTGTTGTCATTGCTTCTGCACGACAGAAGTCTCAACTTGTGTTGTTGGTTGGATGCTTTCCTTTTCTTGATTGTGAGGAGGAATCTCCATACATGCCTTAAGCGTTCAGCCTTTAGTATTCTTGAACCAGTATCCAGAGAGGGATAAAAGAGCTAAAGAATTTTCCTTGTATGCTACACAGTTCAATCTTTCAATAACAAGCTTACACACGCTGAAACATATGAACTAAGAAATTACAAATTGGGTAAAAAATGAAAAACTAAGAAAAAAATTACAATTAGACTGCACCTTTCATACAAATTTCTATTTGACTTGGGAACAATTTCTTCCCTCGAAGTGTGTTATTGATGGAAAATACACCAAAACCTTATAGACAGCTCAAGCGTGATCCAATATACTTTTTCCTAAAGCATCACCACTGGAACCATCTCATGCTAATGTCTTCAACGCATTTGGCATGCCATCGACAGCATCAACACTTCTTTACAAGATGCTCCAATGCAGGAATCACAGCAAAAAATTTGAAGATTACAAACCTATACTTTTGATATTTTCAAAACTAAACCAACACGGCATATGCAGGTTCCAACAGCTAGTTCTAGCACACTGCATCAACTAAGAAAAAAGATAATATAAGGTTCATTGATGTGTGGCCAACAAGGTTTTGCCAAGTCAATTCCATTGTAAGATAAAAATATGGTTCAACCAAGCAGATCATGATTCTCATAAGCTATTTACTCCCTGTGGGACGTTTTGTGTTAGACTAGGCTACCCTGTAGACAAGCAGTTAATTTTGAGTTCATATCCTTAGCAGCTCATCAATTTTCTTTGGAAATTGTTCTTTGAAGTACAGTCAAAACTCAATTTTCCAAGTCGAGATTTACAAATCAGAGATACTGTCAATAGTTTGCAAATATATAACGTCCTCAACGATTGAGAAATCATGCTAGTAAAAAGAAATTGTAGTGAGGGCATCCAATAGCACTGATCACAGGTAATGTCAGCATAAAATAATAAGGCAGAATAAATTACCTGCACTCTTTTCTAGGCTCTGCCCAGCACCTTGGGCTAGGAACATACATATAATCGAAGATTAATATGGCCAATATAATCTGGTGACCATCAAATATCAGACTCTATGTGGCAGGGCTTGTGAACGAGGCCTTGCCCTTATTATTGTTTCATCACTGTGTCTAATCCATTCTGAAAGTCTCCATGGCTTCTGCCATTTCCATTTGAATTGTACGAACCATTGGTGATGGCTTCTTTTCCACCTCCACAGTTTGCCATTGCCAGCTTGTCCAATAGCTACTAACTTTTTCATTGGTAATTGCCCAAGCGGTACCATCTGCACAAGCAGCAAATCCAACTTTTCTTAGCCAAGCATGAAAGCAGATTGCAGCACTATGATTAAAGTTGGAGAATGAAGTTACCTTTCGTGTTTGATCTATGAATGCAGCTGACTCTCTGGCTGGACCATTAACAATACCTGGGCTATATTTCAGTTGTTTCTGCGCTGGCACAGACATTGGAGATAATGAACCGTTCATATCATCAGCAATGTGTTTCAATGAATTTGGTGAGTTCCCCTGCTAATGGACACTATTGTCAAAAGCAGTGCTAAGGGTAGCAATGATGTTGATACAGACAATTCACTTGAAGGCCAAAAAACTAATAACATCAGTAACTAGATCTTGTTATGACAACAGTGGCAACAACTAGATGATCCTCTGTACAAGTGACCTTAAAATTCTATTTAACTTGCTGCAAAAGATAATCTTACTTTAGTTGGAATTCTTTTCTAGAGATTCCTTGTTGCAATACAGGTTGCAGCACCTGCTATTCAGCTGAAAAGAGGTTTGGAATTTTACAAGGACAAGCAATGTGAATTCAATTGTAACCAAGATTAGTAGGATCCCCACTATGAGGACATTTGAAGAGGAAAGTTTGTCATTCAAGCAAACAGTAAGAGATTCTCTATGCAGCTGTCACAATGGATTTTGGTTTGAAAAGAAAAAGGGGTTTCACATTCTGTAGTCTAACACCAAATGTGGTTTTGGTCAGGTTGCTCCTTTTAGAAAAATGGAGTTTATTCATAGTTTCTTATCAGCATCATTCTTTGGAGCTATTAAAGATCTCCAAAAAGGCAAATTCAAGAAGTAGTTGTAAGGTTAAAATTCCATCAGATGCTTAGAAGTTAGAAGTCATTTGACCAAATCAGTCTTACTGAACTGCTTTTGGACGTTGTGCAAAAAAAAAAAAAAAAAAACTCTTTTGGATGTTATATGTGTGAACAAAGTTCAACTTCATCTATGTGTTGATGTAAAAACAGCTTTAGAATCATTAGTTGATTAGTTGAATGCCTTCAATAAGTTTAGAATGTTATAGTATGCCTTAGATGAAAACCTAAATAAGGCCTCAGATGTTTAAAACCTGAATAAAGTTTGCATAAAACTAACCGTAGCTGATGTAGCCAATGCAATGGCAACAGCTTGCTCTCTTGGTTTTAGCTCATTCTCCACTTCTTTTCTTTGTAGCTCACTCTGCCGCAACAGACCTACAAGTTCTTTAAGTTGTTCTTTCATTTCCTTGATTTCCATGTCTTTTTCCCATAATTGGCAGCTGTTGATAACATATAAGCACTGCTTAGAGACTTTTTGAACCATAGTTTATTTTTTCTCATTTTTTCTTGTCAAACTACCTAAGTAAATATACATATATCACTAGGCGAGAGAAAACACCTTGCATCTCCTAGAGAATTGAACATATATTGAAGCAAGTTCTTTGCATCTCCCATGGAGCGCAACTGATTCCAACGTCCACGGTTAGTGAAGGCACGCTCCCGCTCTTCTGCCTCCGAAAGTTGTGAAGCCATTGCTACCAGTGAATTAGATGATATGCTGAGCATATTCTCAAGTGAAGATATTCTAGCTACTCTTGCATTTGGTGACATGGAGGATGCCCTGTACAGTGGTAGAACACATTGAGGAATGTTAGGATAGGTTGGAGCACTTCTATGGAGGAAAAAGTATCATATCTACAGCCGCATTTAACTAATCTCTCAAACTCACTCATGCTGGGTCAGACCACGGATGAGCCATGAATGTGGGAGAGGAAAAGGCTATAAACATGTTGTATACAAATGTTGGCTATACACTAAATTTGCTTTCTGCAATTTTCTTCACTGATACCAGACCATAGAACCCATATGATGAGAGGTTATGAGGAGTAAATTGTCGGTAATAAAGTAAAATGCTTTTGGACAATTGATACCTGGCAAATCCATTCTTTCCTCTTGGAGGGCTCAGCCCCTTCGAAGCACACTCGTCTACTTGCTTCAAGACAGCCAACTCTTCTGCCAGTGCAGCTCTCCTGGAGATTTTGCATAATAAGTGAAAGTGATATAAGAATGGTTTATATAACCCACATCAGTTTTATTATACAAATATGATATTGTTACATACACTTGTCTTTGCTTCTCATATTCAAAGCGAACTTCATGCACATTCACCATGACTTCTAACTCATGGTCTAGCCAACGTTGTAATGCTTTCTCATTGGTCTACAGAAGGAACTTAAGTTAATTGATCTTAAACATGTGGATATTGAAATCAAACCAAAAAAGAACCAGAAAAGACAGAGATCATCACCTGCCCATTTGTTCCATTTCCATTGGCAATTGCTGGGAGATACCAAACATTAGAATTTTGGACAAATAAAAGGACACTGGGCATGGATATGAATACCTTAAAAAGAAACTAGAAGCTACTCTGGCATATGTCATTCCAAATATAAACCAGAAGCTACTCTATACAGGTGAATTGTCTATGCCTCTACGAAGGGCATTATTTTATACAAGACATGAATTGTCCAACAACAGCATCCTTAAAAAGAAAGTGTACCCGAGTTATCACGGACAGAAGATTTACGAGCTTCAAGCAACTCTTTTAGCCTCTTGGTGGCCATGGCCGCCTCTTCTGTTTTTCTTTGGAGAACCTGAAAGCAAGAATAGCTGCAAATTATTTCCCTTCAAACAAATCAGGGTAGGCACTCATCTCCTATGAGAAACAAAAATATGCTTACCAGTTTCTGGCGTTGATTTAAAGCTTGCAGCTTATGCCTTTCATACTCATTTCTCCTGCCCTCTTTCCTTAACTGCTTGTGCATGCATATTATTAACCCAGTTAAGTATATAATACAAACAATAGATGCAAATACAAGTGATGCATCCAAGATATCATTCCTGCAATAAGTGATTATCTATGTTCTCATGTAATATCACAATGTAACACAAGAGCATAATAGTTAATAATCCGACGTGTTATCATAAATTGCTTAATTTGATAGAAACTAGAAAGAAAAGAAGCAAGGCACCTGCAACAGTTCCTTTTCTCGAGAGGCTTTCCACTGACGGAATTGTTCTGCCTCTTGTTTTATCCTATGTAGCAACTGAACCTACAACCACAGAACCAGCAAGAGAAGAAAATAACAAAAGGGCAAGGGGAATTGAGGTGGGAAGGTTTAGCAGATCATACGATATAATTGATAAGAAAGACATGAAAGATACAAGGACAAAAATAAGATTTAACCTTTTGTGCCTTTATGAATTGAATTTCATCTTGCAGCCGTTTTGCTGCTTCATCACTCTTCTGTTTCTGCTTTAAAAGTTGAACCTGGTTCTCTTGCTTTTTCTTCAGATCCAGAATCTGGTGCAAATAAGTTTTTACAATTTAAATCAAATCATCATCAGTGCTTTTTTTCAATCCAATAATAAATGCAATTTCAGCTGAAACTTTTTGTCACCTGTGCTTCAAGGGATTTTAGTTTCTGAGCATGGATGTCTTGCACTTTTTGTGTTTGTCCATCAGAACCAGCAGAAAGACTTTCAATTTCAGCC